GAATGAAATTAGATTGTGAGATAGAGATGTGACTTATCTCTTTTTTTTTTTTTTTTTGAGTTGGAGTCTCACTCTGTCACCCAGACTGGAGTGCAGTGGCTGCTCCTGGCCACCGCAGCTTCGACCTGCTGGGCTCCGGCGATCCTTCCGCCTCAACCTTCCAAGTAGCTGGAACTACAGGCACGTGCTACCACGCCCTGCTAATTTTTGATTTATTGTAGAGATGAGGTCTCACCAAGTTGCCCAGGTGGGTCTTGAACCCACGGGTTCAGGCAATCCACTCACCTCAGCCTTCCAAGGCGCGGGATTACAGCCTGAGCCACTGAGCCCAGCCTGTGGCTTATCTTTAATAGATTTTGCTTCTTTTTTAGTTGTTTGTTAATTGGTCTGTTCATGTCTTCCTCATTCATTGCTTATCTGTTAGTTAAGCTGCACCTTCATTTGCCTTTTAACTTTGGTTTTGTATGGTCAAGTGTGCAGGATTTTATATCTATAACTGAAACCATTTTAATGTCAATAGTATAAAGTTGTGGTTTTTCCTTTTGGAAAATTGAATTTTTAAGATGTGGGCCTTTGAAAAAGATATCCAGTTTAATTTACTGTTTTCTTATGTATTTTTCCTTTTTGAAAATATCAAACATGTTCTCACCTCAGGATCTTGCTGTATTTGTTTTACTGCCTTGAAACCACTTTCTCTGTGTATCTAGCTCCTTAGCAGCTTTTAGGTCAAGCTCATGTGTCATCTATCCCATCTGTTCTATCTGAAGTTGCACTTAACCCAACTCTTTCTTGATCCTATCACTCTGTCATATCACCTTATTTTATTTCATTTTCAGCCCTTATTACCAAGTATAATGATTTTATTTTGCCCATTTGCACATGCTTGTCTTCTTTCACTGGAATGCCAGTTTTGTCCTTTAGGATCTTTTTGGCTACAAAAATACTTTTTAAAACTTTCTTTTATACTTGAGTTAGCCTGAATTGGTTTCTGTTGCTTGCAGACAAGAAACCTGACTGATACAGAAATTGGTACCAGAAGTGGTTGCAAGCAACAGACACTCAGGGAGATGGGATTGGTTATCTGGCCTAGGAGGTGGGTTATTTTTGTTTGTTTGTTTATGTGGCTTTAATTAATTAACACTTATGTAGTGTGCTTACCATGTACTGTTCTAAGAACCATTGCATACATTGTCTTAAATAGTCCTCAGAATGACCTGAGATAGTTCTGAGGTAAAGAGGTAGACTTTATTGTTACTTTCATTTTACAGATAAGGAAATAGTCACACAAAGGTTAACAAACTTGCCCAAGGATGCATAAAGGCAGGGAAAATTCTTATTTTATTTTATTTTTGTGACAAAATCTCCCTCTGTTTCCTAGGGTAGAGTGTAGTGGTGTGATCATAGCTCAGTGCAGCCTTGTATTCATGGGCTTAAGCAGCCCTTCCTCACCAGCCTCCTGAATATCTAGGACTACAGACTTGTGTCATCATGCTTGGCTAGTTTTGTTGTTGTTGTTGTTGTTTTTGCAGAGATGGGGTCTCATTCACTCTTACTCAGGCTCATCTCACACTCCTGGGCTCAAAGGATCCTCCTACTCAGCCTCCCAAAATGCTGGGATTATAGGTGTGAGCCACCAAGCTCGGCTATGAAAATTCTCTTATTTAGGAATTGGATTCTGGTAATCCATGGTATGCAGTTCTGAAGAGCTAATGAGACAATTATCTCTGATTACTTTGACTCTGCTGCACACTCAGGGCTAGCTTTAGGGTTGTGTTGCCACTGCTGCAGAAAAAAATGAAGGAATTCAAGTCTGCTGGATTGAGTAGACAATTTGAAGAAAGAATGACAGGATTTGAATTTATGTTTTTAGCTTAAGGTAGAGATTAAAACTCATAGATATGCTATAATTGAACTAACATAATTTCTTATATCTAACTACTCCAGAGCTAAGGTAGTTCTAAATTAAATCTAGTGTTTAATCTAGCATAAGCTAATTCATATTCTAGCCACATTTTCTATATGACAATTAAGCTATTTATCAGGAAGAATTGAGATCAACTATCCTAAATGGTTTTCCAAATAGTCCTGCCAAGGAAAGATTATGCTATTGGGTGATGCTGTGGCAATCCTAAGGAAAAATGTAATTTTTTGGTAATATTTGTTTTGTTGGACAGCATCTTATAATTAGAACTGCATAATATACAGTATATGCTGTATATTATGATGTTATTTAAGACTCATTAATATATTTGCTATACATTGGATGACTCATAAAATGATCATGTTTAATGTTGAAAGTTAAAATATTTTAAAAACAAACAAACAAACCAGAGACAATTTAATTCCGTATCCGAATGTGATGTGTTATACCAAGGGTTGGCCAACTACAGCCTATGGCCCATCGGTAGTATATTCTCCAGAACCTTTTGCTGATCCTGTTACATAATACTTGGTGAAGAAGATACAAAATAGTCAAGGATTCTGCCTCAATACAGCTTACAGTCAATTCCTTAGGGAATTGATCATATAGTCCTCCTTATTTTTTCTTTTTGCAGACTGCTAAAATTTGAACACATCTGACAAGAATCTTCTAATTGCTCATAAGTGTTTTTCTCTATCTTTTCTCTGATTTTTACCTTTTAATTTTAAAATAGTGATAGCTTTGTGTATCAACTGACATTGCTGTGTAACAAATCGTCCCAACACTCAGTGGCTTAAATCAACAACCATTTATTATTTCTCATGAGTCAGAGTGAGCTTAGAGTCAGTTGATTAAATTTGGGCTCAAGTGGGAGTGGCTCTGCTCCATGTATTTCTCATCCTCCTCTTGGTATCAGCCTGGGCAGGTCCTTCTCATTATGATGGCTGGAGCTTAAGAGGGCAAGTAGAAACACAACAAGGCCTCTTGAAGACTGGCTTGGGACTTGCATAATGTCATTTCCAACTCTTAAGAAAGTCATATGACTGAACCCAAAGAGTGGAAAGGTATGTTCCACCCTTAGCAGCAGAGTACTAGAAAAGTTATATGGCAAAGATTGTGAAAATTTGAGGTTAATAATGCAGTCTACCACAGTTTAGTTTAGTATCAGAGTATAGCTTACAACCTGCATTCGGAATTGAGTTCCAGCTCAAGTATTTTGACTTGCTGCTTTTTATGCATCAAAGATCTGGACAGCATGGAATCATTCCTTAGAAGTCATTCCATATGGGTACCAGGAGCATGAGGATCCTAAATGCCTTCGATTTAGTTATGTATTGAGCACCTTCTTTGTGCCTAACACTATATCAAGTTATGTGACTTTAGGAGTGTTAAGTCTAACAGCAAAAAGAAACTGTGGACAAGTACTTAGAAGATGGTGTGATAGTTCCAAAAGTAGTACTTACTGGGTTAAAGGTAGCAACAGAAGAGAGGAGTAGTCAACTCCATGAAAAGACATGGAAAGCTTTGTTGAGGAAGAGATATTCATATTAAAATTTGAAGGATGGACAAGTCACCATTCCCTGTAGAACAAGTTCAGGTAGAGAAGTACCTACCCCTGAAGTCGCTTATTCAAGTAGATCTGGAACAAGACCAGAGAATTTGCATTTCCAACAAGTTTCCAGATGATTTTGATGGTGCTGGTGCAGGGATAACACTTTGAAAAGTGTCAATTTATTGAATTCTTCCTATGTATCCGGCACTCGTCGATGTGGTAAGTTTATAAAGTAGAGTAGTGGAGACAGACACGTAAATGTGTCTGTCACTATCACTATAGCACAATGGAATGGTTGCTGCCATACACGGAAGTACAAATTGCTATAATACCCCAAAGGGGCATCTAACTTAGAATGAGGCTAGAGGCTGCATATGTGCATAAGGCCCAGAGAAAACCCTTAATCCCGAGTGAAGTTAAAAAAATTATTGTAAAAAAAAGAAAGTAATAACAAATAGAAAACTGATCTTGAATCATGCTTTGCACAAGACTGGTAAATGGATTCATCTTTAATGTTGCCTTTAAGAAATGTCTGATAGAAAGTTGTTAGGCAAGCTTTTGTTTGTATAGGTAGGGCAACATAAGTTTGAATTAGTTATTTTGCAAGCAAAAGATACGCTTTTCCTTTGTTTTGTTTTACTCATCTTCAGCTATTTTTTTAAGAAGCCAAAGAAAGATGTTATGCTTGACCTATGTGATTCTATTTTTTGCACGAAGTGGCTAGAAACATGTATGTGAGAATGTAGAGAAAACGAGACAAGAGTAGGAACAATCAGAGCTAGTGAAATAGAGTTGGCTAGATAGCTGGACCTGGGAGGTTAAGAACAGAGCCCACAGGTGAACATAATTATCTTATCCATTGCTATTGTAGCCTCAAGTGTGAGACTATGAGACAAAGTAACATCTTTACTTCAATAACAGTATTAATGCAGTGTATATTAGGCCATGAACTTGGGCAGGGCTATAGATAGCTCTTACTTGGGCATCATACGCTCTGTGAGCAGGATGGACAGGAATTGATTAGAGGTATACTTGAAGCAGGCAACTGATTGGTCAGTTGTTTCTGTTATATGCTCTGCAAATGGAAGAGAGAACATGGCAAATGCCTGGGCTAGTTCAGAAAAATAGATATATACTCGTGAGGTTGTTTGTCTTGGCAATAAAGCCATTCTGTCCTTTAATGAAGCAGTCCTGGACTGTGCTGTCATCTCAACCCAAAAGGTAATACCCTTTTAGGAATCAAATGGATTGTGGGGCTTCCAACTACCTCTTCATTTACATTTTTAAAGCAAAAGCATATACCTAAACCTATGTAGAATATTTTATTTTAAACAGTTATATTGTACCTGGTAAAGGGAACTGAAGTCAAGGAGAAATTATAAATAAAATGCCCAAACTTTAAAATCATGTAGTGTAATGTATTTTCATTGGAGGTGAATTGCTAAATAAAAATTATTTGTAGTTCTTTTCATTGTCCTTTTATAATATCATTTAATTAACAATGAAATCTTGTAAACTTTTTCTTAGCATACCTCTGTGGATGGATATACTGAACCACACATCCAGCCTACCAAGTCAAGTAGCAGACAGAACATCCCTCGGTGTAGAAACTCCATTACATCAGCAACAGATGAACAGCCTCACATTGGAAATTACCGTTTACAAAAAACAATAGGGAAGGGAAATTTCGCCAAAGTAAAGTTGGCAAGACATGTTCTAACTGGTAGAGAGGTAAGTTTGTATGATGCCTTTTAATATTACCTGGACCTCTCTAGAGTCTTGTTAAAAAAATTTTCCTGTAGCTGGTATTGGAGAATAAATGACAGTTGTAATATGACACTGGGATGTGTGTGAGCTGTATCATAGCATAAAAGTTGACCTTTTAATGTTTAGAAAAGAATTGTCCCTTCATACTAGCATCTCTTTTAGATAAGATGTGCTGTAGATAAGCTTTCCTCAGGCTTCTCACTTTGATCATATGGTTTCTGTGAATATTTCTGATTACCACTGCTGCCTAACCCCAGGAACAAGGCAGCAATATAGCGTATATATGTAGAAGCATATATATGTAGAAGGTCACCCACTAATTTTTAACTGTTAGAGACCACAGTGAATAAGTATTGCTATAAAGGTAGTTTTCTCAGGTAAAATCTCATATGTTTTAAATTATATGTATATATTTGGTAAAAAATTTTTATATTTGCACATGTGCATTGTATATATGTCTGTATGTTATAAATAAAACTTTATTTAAATAGTTAAACATCTGACATTTTGTAATTATGTAATGTGAACTGGGCCTAATTAGGGTAGTATTTAAAAATTTCATCCACAGAATGTTTTTGATAAGTTTTCACCTTACTCTATACATAATATATTGTCATCTCCCATTGAATTTAGTCCTTTCTGTCTCTTCTGACCCCAGGAGCCATTCAGACATGAGATACACTAGACAGAGTGTTAGGTATTCAAATTCATTTTGTGAGTTTTGCTATAAGTATGCCTCTACCCACATAACCATTTTATTCACATAATACTTAGCTTACTGCAAGTTTATAAGCTACTTTCTCCTATAATTTTTGCTAATCAAGATCATGAGTAAAAGATTAAGACACAGGATGATTTTTTACTTTAAAAGCAGAAACTTGGAAGAAATAACAAAGGCTTAATTTCATTGACTCATGCTCAAATAGATTAAAGACTTGGGTCAATGGATATTCCACAGCTGCAGTTATCAAAACTTTACCATCCAATTATGTGAACACCCAGACAGAGCTAAATTACATCTAGTTGGGAATGAAACAAAAGATGTTTTCTTTGTCTGTTTTTATTCATTAAAATATGTATTTTCAAATATACTTTAATAATTCTTTTTTGTAGGTTGCTGTGAAAATAATAGACAAAACGCAGCTAAATCCTACCAGTCTACAAAAGGTATTTAATTAATTTAATAATAAGTAATTAAATGTGAGTTTATTATTAATATATGATGTTTTATAAAGTCAGTCATCCTAAATTTTCTGTTAGGTACTACATTTCATCACTATATAAAGAACAGACATGATATAAAACATAATGTTTATGACTTATCGAGTAGTTGTTTGAAAACTATCTGCTACTACATATGCACCATATGAAAGCAATTTGTCCCTTATTTTAATTCAGTAGAATAAAACTTTGTATAAAATATTTATAGGTGTTCAAGATTTGAAGTATTTAGAAATTTTGAAGTATCTTCAAGTATTCAGAATTGATCTCTGAAAATTATACTTTGTTAAATGAATAATCCATTTATCCCTAGGGTTTGGTGTGTTATCTGCTATATAAAATATTGTCAAATATTTACCTAAGCCATTTAAACTTTTGTGAGTTTTTGGACAAAGTCCTGAAACTCTGGTAAGCTTCTTAATTAAAAATATAGTTACTAATATTGTCCATAGTTGAGTTTCCTTTTATTGCTTCACGAGTTCTTCTTCCTTCCACAAGAATTAGTTTTTCAGATAACACACAGTGAAAGATAGGAATGTTTCTTTAGAAAGAATGAAAATACGAAACAGCATGGGGAGAAAACAGGATGGAGATTGACTTAGTCAACCAAAGCTGTTTCATGTTACTTTATTAATTACTTAAAAATGGAAAAACTTTCTCACATACACATTTTGAAAATGAATCAAATATTTTAACTTTTATGTCATATATACTGTTTGTATATAGTGAGATAATATACAGTGTGTTTTTTTTCATTGGGATTTTAAAAATATTTTTTAAAATATAATGGGATCATTGTCAACATATAAATGTGACACAAATGACTTTGAATTTCTAAACAGAGAGATTCTTATAAGAAAATTGTAATATGGTGTATTTAAGCTACATCTGCTGTGATGTAACATTATACTAAAAATTTAGGTTTGTAATATCAAAATTGTCTTCTTATTGGCTCAGTGCCAGATGACTCAGTTTATTTTTGTGAATAGTTTCACAAGTAGCAAAAATAGTTTCAATAGAAGAATAAATATACTTCTAGAGATCCATTCTTGTATTTACCTTTTTTAATTTGACCACCAATATAACTTCATAGCACTGATATATCTGCTTAGTGAGAATATGGAAACGTTGCTCTATTCTTTTTCTGTGGATGTGAGAGAATATATTATGGATCTCCTCTGGGAGAAAGTCTCTTCTAGCACCAGTATTTCTGTTAACCATGATACATCTGGGTGAGTGACAAAAAAGCATCATTTCTGGGCCAGTGAATTACCCAAAGATGCCATTTTGTCCTGAGTTGGAGCCACCAGTGGGACAGATTTTTAACCTATCCTTTGCTGAAAAACTTTTTAAAATGCATAAACTGTATAATTGTACCCTGTGGCTCTGTCCATGGTTCACCTAGCTTCCCTACTCTTCTTGCATTTAGCTGTAGATTACTCTGGCAAATCAAGTGATTTTTAATTGGCATTTTGAACTATTCAGGCCTGTTGTGATACCTGGGATGCACAGTAATCTGACTCCTGCTCTGTCTTTCCCAAGGGGGGCCAGAAAAGTTATATAGCCGAAATTGTGTTATTGAAACATGTGAACATGAAAGTGAATTTTGCTTTATTTATCTAAATAACCCCCAAAATGTGCTTGTTGATAACAAGTAATTTCTGTCATAAAAGCAGCTTATCTTACTGATAAAGTCTTACTTTTCCAAATAGGCATATAAAAATGTGCAATTTTGTTTTCTTTAACCTGTGAAAATAAAAGTAAAAGAAGGATTAAGATTCACTAACTATAGCTAGGACACTATGTATATGTTGCTTTTAAAATAATTTAAATTTATGTTTATAGATTTGCTTTTTGTTGAAAGTTGTGAAGAAAAAACAGATCAAGCCTTGATTAATCCTCATGTGTTATAGAACTTCAACATCTGACCTTACCCATTTGGCCTGTAGTTTTTTCCAGTCTGTCATATCTAAAAAATAAATAGTCAGTGAAAAACAATTCATTTGTTTTCCCTAGCATTACATTTGTTTTCCCTAGTATTGCATTTGTTTTCTCTAGCATTGACAGTTAAGTAAAAAGTTACAAAATATACCTCCATATCTTAGGCGTGCTTGTTAAAAAGCACATTCTATAATAGGTATTCATTTTAATCTTACTTCCAGAAGTGTTTGGTTAAATCTTGTTCTGGTTTGATCTGAATTAAGCTTATCACCCTCCTTTATCCTTTTCTGTGTATGATATATTTATAGGAAATATTGCCTTCCTTTATCAACATCAATGATAAACAAAAGAATTTAAATTTGATACATCAACTGTTTGAAACATCTACCATACAAAGTTCTTATAAACAGCTTGGTCTTTGGAAATGTTAAACACGTTTGGCTTCAACATTGTTCACATAATATGCTCATATTTTTTTGTATCACATTTTGGATTAATGAAATAATTTAATGAGTTTTTATAGTTTAAAAAGCATTTAAAATAGATACCATATTTACTTCTTCAAAGTGTGAGTCCTACTTGATATATTAGTGTTTTCTACAGGAAGGTCCATGGGCAATACTAGTGATCCTTGGAGATCTTTTTTTTTTTTTTTTTTGAGTTGTAGTCTCACTCTTGTCACCCAGACTGGAGTGCAGTGGCCGCTCCCGGCCACCATAACCTCGACCTGCTGGGCTCCAGCGATCCTTCTGCAGCCTTCCGAGTAGCCAGAATTACAGGCACGTGCTACCACGCCCGGCTAATTTTTTGATTTATTATAGAGATGAGGTCTCACTTGCCCAGGCGGGTCTCGAACCCACAGGCTCAGGCAATCCACTCACCTCAGCCTCCCAAAGGCATGGGATTACAGGCTGAGCCACCAAGCCCGGCTCCTTGGAGATCTTTTAAACAGTCTAGTAATGTTGACTGTTGGTGGAAGTGTAAACTAGTGTAACCTCTGTGGAAAGCAGTGTGGCGATTCCTAAAAGCTCTAAAAATTGACCTTCCATATGACCCTGCAATCCCCCTACTGGGAATATACCCTGAAGAACACAAATCACTCTATAAAAAAGATACCTGCACACGTATGTTTATCGCAGCATTGTTCACAATAGCAAGAACCTGGAAACAACCATGCTGCCCATCAAAAGAGGACTGGATTAAAAAAATGTGGTACATATACATGATGGAATACTACGCAGCCATAAAAAAGAACAAAATCATGAATTTCGCTGCAACCTGGATGGAACTAGAGTCTATAATACTGAGTGACCTCTCACAGAAACAAAGATCTGAATATCACATGTTCTCACTCATATAATGGACCTTGAACATCCAATGTAATACTATAAGGAAATGACTGACGGTACTGGGAAACTATGGGGGGGAGGAGGATGGGATTAACAGTAGCAAATATCTGTCGGGGGATGGGAAAACACCTCTTATCAACAGGGTGCCTGAATGAAACGTAATTGTACACCTAACCCTTCACTGTACCCCACAAAACCATAATAAAAAATACTGATTAATGAAAAAACAAAAAAAAAAAAAAAAGAAAAGCTAAACAATGAAGCAGTTTTGCTCATAGTTTATAAATTTGAAATGGAGGTTAATTTTTTTTTTCCAGAAATTCCACTAGTTTTGAAACTTGGACTAGTTTTGAAACTTAGTTATACACAGATGAAAAGTTTGTGTCAGTCTCTCTCAGCTCACTGTTACCAGATTGCAGTTTACCTCTACTAACTTTTTTTATCTTCTGTGTGTTGTTTATTAACTTACATTTTCTCTTGTTTTCCCGTGTTGCATTACATTCCCAGTTCACAAAAATGGCTTAGCGGTTCAGAAGTGATTTCCTGAGTAATAAAACCTTCTGTGAAAATAAAAATAAGACTTACTGCAGCGCAGAATTATGTCATTAACTAATAGAGGACTGCTACCTTAAAGTTACATAGAATGTGAATCTCTGTGCTAGGACAGTAATTTTGCATAAGCAGGAAAAGTATAAAAATTTAAATAATTGACCTCTGAAAATTAGACTGCAGCTGGACTCAGTGGCTCTGTCTGTAATCCCGTGCCTTTGGGAGGCTGAGGTGAGTGGATTGCCTGAGCCCGCGGGTTCGAGACCCGCCTGGGCAGCGAGACCTCATTTCTACAATAAATCAAAAAATCAGCTGGGCGTGGTAGCGCGTGCCTGTAATTCCGGCTACTCGGAAGGCTGAGACAAAAGGATCACCGGAGCCCAGCAGGCGAGGCTGTGGTGGCTGGGAGCGGCCACTGCACTCCAGTCTGGGCGACCGAGTGAGACTCCAACTCAAAAATAAATAAATAAATAGAAAATTAGACTTCATTAAGTGAATAATTCATTTACTGCTGGTACCTGGTGTATTACTTGTTTTATAAAATGCTGGCAAATGGTGTCCTACACCATTTAAACTTCTGTGAGTTTTCAGATAAAGCCCAGAAACTTCTCTGGTAAACTAAGTTTTCCAGAACATCTGCAAAGTAGTATTTGTCAGGTTGAAGACTTTGGTCATTAAAGGGAGAGAAACCCATGGAACCATGGAAGCAATATTTAGAATTCACTGTGTTTTTAACAAATTATCAAGAAACCAAACTTGTAACACCAGTCACAAAATTTTTGACAAATATTTTGACCAAGAAGAGAGCAGAAGAAGCTCTTTGGGAATTTTTTAAACAAATATTTCTGCTGGACATATATTGAAGTATCAGTTACTCTCACATATGCATTTTTATAGTATATTTTACTTTATAACTGAACAAAGCCACTTAATGCTGAGTACTTCTTCCGTACAGTTCTTGTCACATGTGTGGATCACTTGAAGGAAAAATACTGACCAATTCTTATGTAGATCAGAGAATTAGTATTTTGTAAACTGGATTGTAGATTGTGAAATTTGTCTTTTAATCAGTAATGATGAAACACCACTGGGGCTTGTTGGGGAGGAAGAGGGTGAGGCTAGGGGTATTTTGCAAGGAATAAAACTCCAGGTAAATAAATAAGATTATACTTAATGCCCAGTCGTTCATTATTCTCCATG